CCTGTCACAACTGCCATAAAATTCAAAATTACCTTCTTTATTGCCTAAAATGTTACATTTTTTTGTTTGTTTATTATTGCTCAGCTTTGTTGTCAATCAAACCATGATATGGTAAGAAGGACTTGGTGCATACCATGATAAAATACAATTAAAAATGCAATAAAACCAGATAAGAAATTTAGTTTTTTTATTTTTATTTTTTTAGATTTGCAAATAATCAGCATCCCAGTGGGGTTGTATAATAAAACAAGAGACTGAGAAGCTGCTAAARCTAACCTAAAGAAATGTTTTATCTAAAGGAACTCCTTGGGTTATACTGTATTTACAATGGCGTGCACAGGTAGGGCTCACCTGACAACAGGGCCTTATCTGCCAGGGCAGACCAGGGAGACTCGGGTCATTGTCCTGACGTCGCCTAAACTYGCAGGCAGGTGAGTCTCAGGTAGGCGTGACGTCATCGTGATACTTTTGAACTCCTTGGCAGTAAATCCATAAAGGTGTGTATCCCTCAGTGCTCCGTTTGTAGTCCTGAACCTTAGACTGAGGTGAAAACAGAGCGCCATTATCAGCCGGAGCGGGGCCTAACATGAGCCAGGAGGTTTAACTCACCTGTAGAGCCCCTCCACCTGCCCACCTGCAGAGCCAGCTCACCGGTATGTACCCCAACTCCCAGTCGGTCCGACACCCGGCCCAGACGCTGACCCTGAACAGTCAGTACTTCCCGCCTGCATATGACTTCACGGGTTTCCAGCATCACGTCTCGGGGCTCGTTGACCCGTCCGCGAGCGCCTGGAACCCCGTTTACACCCCGCGCGAGGAGTTCCCGTTCGGCTTCCCGGGCTCGAGCCCCAGCGGCGGGCAGGTGGGCTTCACCTCCCCGGAGCTGAGCAGCGCGCCCCCCGCCGCCGGAGGAGGGTCACTGACCCCCTACAGCTTCCTGTCGGGACAGGACCCCTTCCCCTGCAGGAGGAGACCACCTGAGCCCCTCAGACACACAGTCTCAGGTAGGAATGAGCAGAAACATGACTCAACTGATAGATTAAAACATAAATAAATTAAAGTGTTAAATTGTCTTGTTACTGCAGCTTTAACTGAAGGATATATTGGCATTTAATAAAATACTACATTTTTTGTTATTTTTGTCCTTTTTAAAGGGTATTTATGAGTTTTGTAAAGTATGGCATCTAATTTGAATCTTGAAAAAACTATAAAAATAGGATATAAGAAAACAATGTTGTTGCTATTTTACTATTAAATAATGTAAATGTCTAAATATTGCTCAAACAAGTTGTTTTTCACATAAAAACACATAAATAAAGTCCAGTTTGGGTTTGAATAGATAACCTACAACTGATAAATTTCTTCTGGAAAATAAATGAAGGAACACCGGAAATGGTTGTTGTGAAACATTGTTTATTACTGTTTGACATCGGGGTAAATATGACTAAACATTTAGTCAACAAGCATTCAGGCTTATGTATGAAAAACTTTAAACGATATTAATTTAGTCAGATTAGCAGTTTGGTGTAAGAAACGTGTTCATGTAATAAGAAAGAATTTGAACTGTTTAATGTAAATAAATAAACCTTGTAATATACATAATATACATTAGCTATATGTCACAAAATGAAAACACAAAATTTTTATTTCAATTTAACAGTTTTAATTAATTAAAGACACAGTAATGTTCCATCGGAATGTTACATTTTGGTAAAATACAAGAAAACAAATTTTTATACTTATGGAAAAAAACGTATCACAGTGTAATCATTTTTTTTACGGTGAAATTCTGGCTGCTCGTACTTTACTATAAAATCCACAAAAGTATTTCAACAGAAATTTATAAGACCCTATTTAAAAATAATTAACATGTAATAGATTCTGAAGAATTGACTTGAAGTGGATCAGCGTCGAAGGAAAAATAATCATATGACTCCTGCAGTGGTTGATTGTCTCAAAGATGCAGGGGAAGCCAATGTAAAAAGTAGGCCTGTTGAAGAAAAAAGTTCCCTCTCATATTCAGTATAACACAGAATAAATACCACATTATAAAGAGTCATTTATAGCTGTTTTGATCTATTTTAAAAATTGACATTTCAGCACTTATAATGATGGGAAAGACTTCTTCTTTTCAAATACTGTACATAAAATAATCTGATTTAGTTAGAACATCTGTGTGCAGCTGATCACATAGACACTTTAAATGTCAACTTATTACTCTAACAGGAAAAGCTTCATCTTGATAACAACTATTTTTTTTAAATCGCAAGACTCTGCAGCACAAGAACACGTCAAGCAGTTTGGCAACATACATTTTCCTGGAAAGCCACAGTATTAACATGCAGAGCAAACTCTACATTTGTCATGCTGTCACCTCTTCCAGCCGGCAGCATGGTCTGAGATGCAAAGCTAATAGTGGAGCTGCCACTCCCCGCCCTCTCCGTCCACTGTGTGGGTGCAAAGCATTGACAAACAGCACTCCCCAAAGTCTGGAGGAAGCCAAACCATTAAAAAAAAGGCAAACACTCGGCCTTTTGCYTAACTGTGTGTGGGTGTGCACGGTGCTGCCTCGATCGATGCCGCCACACGGTCGCATTTTCTAATCGATGCCTCTCCGAGTGAACATTCGTGTCAACGAACGGATGGGCGCCTGTGAAAACACACTGTGTAAACACGACTCCTGGTGATAAGGAGAAGCAGCGCYGAGAGGAGTCTTTACATTCGTTAGGTTTAGCGTGATTAATAGAGCTGATGAGGATTTGAGTGGCGCCTAAAGTTGAACTTGGCTCCAGACCTGTTTGGCCGTTTCTTTTTTTTTTTTTTTGCACCACATGTGACTCACTGACACACTCATTCATTTCTGCTATACTTTACAGGAAAAGAGGAACAGTTACACACCGATGTATAACTGCACAGTGTTTACTCAAGCATCCACACTTCTTTTCTTCTCCACTTCCTCAGCTTCAGGAGGGAAGACCCGAACGAAGGACAAGTACAGGGTGGTGTACACCGACCACCAACGGCAGGAGCTGGAGAAGGAGTTTCAGTGCAACCGCTACATCACCATGAGGAGGAAGTCGGAGCTGTCGATGGCTCTCAGCCTCTCTGAGAGACAGGTGAGAGGACAGATGTGAACGACAGAAAGGTTAAAAGGAGCCAATAAAGGAAACAAGTGGGTCACGAAGCACAGCAACATGACAGGAAATTAAAGGAAGCGAAAGTAGAGAAAAGATGAAACCACCCCCTGACTTTAAAACCACTTTTAGAGATATTTTAACCCTCCTTTATTTCCCTCATCACTTAAATCTATACACTGTCAACATTAAAGGTATTCAAGAACACCAAGAACCCAACTCAAGGTCTTCTTGTCTGTTATCTGTAAAAGGAGATCGTAAAGACCATAAAGACCAGAATGTTCTTTTCAAGAAAAAGAAAACAGCACGTTCATCAGTTTATCACATGTTGCCATTTCCTCTTTCAGAAGAGTAACTTTTTTACTTAGAATCTGAGACCAGATCTGAGCCACTGGTTGAACTTTTGTTTCCCTTGTGGGATGTAACATTCTTTTTTTGAGAAGCTATAACTTTCATTTCTGTAGGGACAGAACTTCACAAACATAGTAAACAATATTTTTTAGATATAAACTAACATCATTATTTCAGTTCATTAAAACCCCAGAACTGAATYTTAGGAAGTCAATAATAATAATAATCTGTGGGCCCACAGATATAACAACTTTAAAACAGACACAGAAATGTGAACATTTTAAATAACAGATTTAAAACTGATCATTAGAAACACAATGTGTTTAGGAGATGCATCAGAAACATGTACTGTAATTTTTTTTATTGGTAATTGATTTTCCTTTAAATGAACCACAGTGTCCATTAGTGCAAATAACACAAGGAAGTTGTACATTTGTGAAGACAACAATAACAAAATTCTACTTTTGTATGTGGGGCACTGTGGCATTACTATCAGTATCAATATCAAACAGAAATCACTCAGAACATACCTTTATCTCAAAACTGTTTTTATAAACAATTACACAGTTTTCCACATATACTTCTTTGGCTTTATGCAGACATAAGCCAAAGCAGCAGCTAGCTGTAGCACTTTATTATGACATTTTTTAGATTTAAACAGTGGTGGGCACCAGCCCACTAAAGTGCAAATCTGCTAATAGCGGACCTAAATATTTCATTTGCACTTTAGCGGTCTACTAATTTTTGTAATTCATAAGCGGAGTTGCGCTTTCTAAAATTAAAATGCAGTACCGCTAATAACTAGTTATCTACCAGACATCATTACTGTATCTTGAACAGCGGAAGGTATAACTGTCAATGAATCYCAACACACATGATCTGTCCAACAGCACCTCTACAAGATAAACACAGTTGTTGGAAACGTATACATCTTTGCTGACTGTTGCTTTCTGTCACGGTTCATTTCCCACAATGCTTTGTGTCTGCTTATATAGCAGGAAGGCAATGTTTAGTACTCCCTTTCCCAGCAAAAACAGTAAACGTTTGTAATCCATACTAAAATTCTGTATGTATTGATTTATTTTACTTTACAATCGGAGCTCCTTTAAAAAAATTTAAACGCTGGAGCTCAAAGCTTGACGTAATTGGTCGAAGCAACGGGGTTAGACAGACATCTAGTGGTCAACTGGAGCAACTACATGGAAAACTTTCGTTTCCAGTCACAAATCAAATCCGTCATGTACCCAGAATGCATCGCTTCTGTTTTCCAATAAACAGTTTTAAAATTARTTTATTGATGCTTCTTTAATGAAAAATGTACAACAAACAAAAGAAAAAGACAAAGAAGCAGCCAAAGTAGCAATCCTCAACAACTTTTTAATTTTTACACCAGGAGCCAAAGTTCTGTTTCAGGCAATCACATCTCCATCTTGCGGTTTAAAATTAGCTTCTGCTAATTTTTCTATGGCATAAGCATTTTTGAAGTTATGGACCTAAATATTTTCATAAGTGCTTTAGAAATTGCGGAGCCAATTTTTGGGTTAACATTGCCCATCACTGGATTTAAGATATTTAAAAATGGCAGCAATCCACTTTGGCCCTGTTGGGGTTATTGTTAGCTCTCCTCCCTGAAAATCCAAACAAATAAAAGCTCTGAGCCACTTCTGCTACAGGTAAGATATTCATCACTGATAACCACTCAACATAATATCACAAACAAAATATGAACTATCCGTTTAGTGTATATGAGTTACTGAGCAAAGATAACAAAGCTTTTTTATTAGTGAAAGTTTATGCACAAATAACAGCAAAGGTACATAAAGGTAAATACAAATAAAAAATGTAACATGGCCCTCAATTCACTAGAAGTTAAAACATAATTCTCTGTGAGAAAAGGGAACATGTTGCATTCACTGCTCCACCAGGTGGTTTTCATGTTTGTTATTGTTTACAGAATGTGGTTACAAAAGAAGGTAACGCAACAAATTGATTTCCTTATTTTCTTTGGTGGTACTTTCTGCTATTTTCATCGGTAGATCAAGGGTTAAAACCAACAGAACGGACACGATCAGGAAGGTTTGCTCAGTCGCATTTAGAGAAACCAGCTTTGCAACATTTCCTTGAACCAAAATGTGTTTTTGTGGCCAAACACATAAAGTAATATCACTTGGTAAAACTCTGACTCTTTCTCTGACCATGCTCTCTAATTGTCGTTAATGTTTCTTCATTTAGCCACAGCTGTGTGTAATACCGGCAACACCCAAAGTACTTCTCAGGAAATGTGACATTTTTAATATTTTTGGATAGTTTTAATCTGAAGCAGAGACACAAGCGGGCGGGCGAAACCGCCCCAAATTTAGACAATTTGACACGAAGAAGCTTCGCGACTAACAAATAAAAAAAATAAAAAAATAAGAGGTGTTACATGTGATGTTTGTATCAACCAGTGTCTGATGTTTGTGTGCCTCAGGTGAAGATCTGGTTTCAGAACAGAAGAGCCAAAGAGAGGAAGATGAACAAGAAGAGGCTGCAACAATCCCAGCAGGCCTCCACGACGACCCCCACCCCACCTGTGCTCAGCTTACACACCGACGCCCATCTTCCCAGCAGCCCCGGCGCCAGCAGCCTCATGCTGACGGACATAAAATCAGAGGAATACTAAGTGGACTGAGACTGAAATGTAAATAGTATTTTGTTTTATATGTTGACCAGAACATGAATAATTATTCACTTTAAAAATGAACTAATAATGCTGCACTATCTTTTTTTTAATGCAAACTCCACACTGATCAAATGTAAATAAGACACATTTTTTGTACTATAATAGAAAAAAAAAGCTGCTTGTTTATGTCTTCATCAGATTTATGCAACACTGAATAGAGATTAGTAGGGCTGCCACAAACMATTATTTTTATAATCGATTWATCACCGATCATTTTTTCGATTAGTCGACTAATCGGATCATACGTTAATTGAATATAACACATTGAGCTTATCACGCCAGAATGCAGCTGCTATTATATAACCATGGTTAGATTTTAGCTATATGCTAACTAAAAATAATTGCTGTGGAAGTCAAGTTCTGCTCTGCAGATATTACACAGGTTTCTCTTTCATTTTCTTAAAATGATCCCACACTTTTGAGCTACATTGCTGGGTAGCCATGATACCAGAGCCTGTCTGTATAACGTCTTGTGACGTCCACGGCCTACACCAGTTACTACTACTGTGCATGTGTGTCAAGGACAGAAAGGCAAATGTGGCAGTGGAAGGTGTCAAAGCAGTTTGGAGAGAAAAACAAAGTAAAYAACKAAAAAAAAAAAGAAAGAAAACAATTAATCGATTATTAAATTAGTCATTGATTATTTTAATAATCGATTAGTCATCAACTAATCAATTAATCGTTGCAGCCCTAGAGATTAGTTTTAATTTTTCTTGCACAGTAACTTCATGATGAAAAAAATGACTAAGAAGCAGTAATGCAGATTTAGGCATTTACAAAAATAACCCCGATGTTGCATTTGAAGTAAAAAAAAGATAAATTTGATTTGGGTTGGGCAGTATTTGTGAAAAACATTAATCATGACTGTGGCGTTAAACAATATGACAATTCATAGACTATATCTGCACTTCTGTGTTTTTGACTCCAAATGAGTGTTCTAAAACTAAACTTACAAATCATCAGRCAAACTAACTTCTTCGTTTTAACAYGTGAAAATAGTTCGCTGTGAATTGAAACCCACCATTTCCACAATGTGGAATGGCGGCATGACGGCCTCACACATGGTCTTTATAGTAAGAGTGCCTCGCACACAAAAACACGTCAATAGGTGGCAAATATTAAACAGTTAATTGCACACAATACGATTTTGCCCAACCCTAATTTGATTCTAAACAGCATAAAAAAATTACTGATTAATTAAAGAAAAATGATGAAAACAGTTTAAAACATGCTGCATGTTGCATTATAGATTTAACATGCATCGTGATGATAAAAGCTGAAATGAACGCAGTGTTGTGTTTTTATAAAAAGCAACAATGACAGGTTGATGTGAGAGCTATTAAATGTTTTTTGTTATTAAACCCTTTTGCTACAGTGAGTACTTTAAGGAAGTGAGTTTTACATAAAAATAGCCCGTGAAATCAGACATTCAGTCTGCAGAATTTAGCCACATCCTAAAAAAACAGATGCAAAAATTGCTCAAACGAATGTCATGTGATGCCAGCTCAGCATAACCACTAACACCTGAAGAAACTTTGTTAAAAGAAATAACACTGGTTCATCTGCAACAATATAAAGCTCACTGTTGCTGTACGGTAACCTCAATATAAAATATTGAAACTTTAAAATTTAATTTGCACAGTTTGAGTTACTTTTAAAAGAGGAAGAACCATTCAAAAGCTAAAACATGCAAATAAAAGACCACAGTTGAGCAAAATTTACAAAAGAAGAGAAAAAAATCCATTTTACTCAACCATTAACGTGGTGCAGTTCTTGCTATCTGCAGCCGACTCGTGTTGTTTCTGTAAACACTTGTTAACCTCAAGAGCATTTCTGTTTAACAAACATGCGGTTGCTGGACATTATATAAAAAGCAGTACAAATGGGTTTTAATGTATTATTTGTGTGTTCTGTGTTATTAGTTCCGACCACGAGTTATACGTTCAGAATCAACTGAAATCTTCTGAAACATTTGCAAATTGAAACGTTTAAATGAGCTCACATCACTGTTTAACCAAGTACAGAGCAACAGAGAGCATCCCAGTTGCATGACGTTTTTTTGTGACGTACGGAAAAAATAAACAGCCATAATGAAACATGAAACAAACAACTTTGTGTGATATTCCTTCTTTGGTAAGTTTTTAGATAGGCTTTATCTTTGGTTGATGAAAGGGAATGTTCAGCACTGAGGAGTTGGCACCTGCCTTTGTTTTATGGTTGAATGACTTTTGCGTGAGAACATCACATGAAACTGATAAATCCCCTAGTATTTATAATTTACTTTCAGTTCAACTCAGTTTATACAACGCCAGTGCACAACAAAATTCATCTTGGAGTCAGAAAACTGTGCAAATCCATTTATATGCATTATAAAATGGCAATTAATAAAAGGTATGTATTCTAAGGAAGCCAGTAGATGGCATAGAATTTACCATATTTATTCATGTATAATATTATCGTAATTTTTTGAGCTAAAAAGGATTAAAAATCTAATTATCAATAACCCGTGTGCAATACTACTCCCCAACTTTATGGATGATTTTTGGGTTAAATTTCTAGCATCATACAAGAATAAATACAATAGTTGCAATCTCCCTCCTGAGCATCAAGTTGGTGACAGTGGAAAGAAATGACTTCCTTTTAATGAGAAGAAACTTCCAACACCAAGCTCAGAATGGGTGGCCATCTGCTTCACGTGATTTAATAGGAAAGAGAAAATACTTAAATGCAGTTCAGCCAATCAGAGCTATCGAGCTACCAGAAAACAACACTTTGGAGCCTGTATACAGATGGGAGCTGAGTGTGTTTAGATGGTGGTTTAAGGGCACTACAATTATCTTGAGTCATAAACTGGCTTTATGGCTCTGACAGTCAGCTGAATGGTTGTTAACCTTTAACCTCGAGCAATAAAACCAAACATATTCTGTTGCTGATTAAACACACGGAAATGTACAACTTTTTTCAAGTAAATTCTGAACACATGACAAAACTATCACTAAAGTCAACACTTAAAAATATATAAACTACACCAGTGTGCATAGTTGGTTTGGTTGTTGCAAATTTCAAGATTTAAAGGATTATTCTGGTTTAAAACTTTAGGAAATCTGTGTTTATGCTTAAAATTTTATATATAAAAAAACAAAAAAGAAAAGAAAAGCAGAGAGCATGCAAACGCCATAGACAAAAACACAGTTTCAGTAAAGGAAAGCACAGTAAATTTTGAACTGGTATCGCTAATTGTAAAAATTGAGTTTTAATATTTTGAGGTATACAAAACCACCAAAAATACAAAACGAAAAAAATTGTATAGGTCCTCTGGACGGGTTCTTCTCTAATGAAACATTTCGTCTCTTCTCCAAGAGACTTCTTCAGTCTGAGAGTTTCAGCAAAATTCAGGCTTTTGAGCCCTGCCTCCATGTGACTGATACTCACATCACATGGCTATCGTTGACACGTTGACACGTCGTTTGTGAAGAAAGACCGTCCATCATTAAACAGAGGTGGAGGCCTCCGTTTTCAGTTGTCCCCCTCCTACAGCACGGCTATTGCCAGTATCACTCCACCCCCTGTTAACAATAGGTGTTAATTAGGTGTCAACGATAGCCATGTGATGATACTCACATCACATGGCTATCGTTGACACCTAATTAAC